CCCGGCCGGCGGCCGCCGCGAGGGCCTCGTCCTCCGCGCCGCCTCCGGTGGTTCGCACTTGCTCGCCCTGGCGGCGGCTGCTGAAGAGGCAGCGCGCCCACGCGGCGCGGGGCTGCGGCCCGGTGTCCGTCCCCTGCCCCTCCGGGCCTGGTGAGCGCGGCACAGCGGCCGGGCCTCCACCCGTTGGGCGCACGCCTGACAAGGAGCGGAGCGCGAAGTGGGGGGAGAGGGCGCGGGCCGGCCTACCGGCCCCGACTCGCCAGCGGGCGTCCCCGGGCGGCGGAGTGTGAGGTGCGCGCGCACGCTCCCGGCCTCGCCGCCGCCCCTCCTCCGCCCCGCCCGCCGGCTCGGCCCGCGCTCCGGCCTCGCGCCGCGCGGGCTCCGGCCACCCGGAAGCGTCCCGCTGCCGCGGAGCCCGGGCGTGCGGGGTGAGGAGGTCGCGGATCTGCGCTGCGCGGAGAACTTCCCCGATGCCCGGAGCTTTGCCTTTTGTTGGGGATGACCCGGAGTTTGGGCGACAGGGAGCGAGGGCTCGGGTCCCAGAGGTTTCACTGAAATTCAGTTAACTGGAATTAACGGATTCTGATGGCTAAGACTGGCTGGGGCGAACGTTTCCTCTTGCTCTGTGCAAGTCCTGACTTCATTTCTGGACCATCGGTAGCGAGGGGTCAACAACGGGGTCTCAAACTTCCCTGCAGCCCATGTGCACGTTGTTGGGCACCGAGGCTCGATTAATAGAGAGAGCCAACCTCGTGCCAGATCTGTGTTAAAAATAAAATGACGACCTTGCCCTTTCCGTTGGATTTACTTTCTGAGGAATCCAGGCGCCTCTGTATGACAGAAGCCTCCTCTTGGTTCTGTCCTCTTTACATTCCTCACAACCAACCCTCCCATTAAAAAGATAATAGGGGCGAATGAAGAGATGCTAAAACCCAAAAAGATCAACAATGTTTAAATTCTGACTTGAAAACCATTAGAGTCAAGTTTGTTATCCATAATATTAGGCAGAACCATGTGGGGATTAAACCGAAAAATTAACGTGCGTTAATGTCTGTATTCTTGCATCCAGTTTACTTTAAGACTGTTTTCATTCTAACATTGTCATTCTCTGTACATGATTGAAAAGGAGACCCCTAAATATCAAGGGAGGAAAGGTCAGCCTCAATTAAAATCAAGGATAAAAGCTTCATGGTCATTGGCACAATTCATAACTGCATTCCAATATTGAATGAAGCTCTGCATATCTGACTATCTACATGACAAAAGAAGTCATTGTCACTGACCCTGCTTCACCAAGTAAAACAAAGACAAAAATGTTAAAGATTACCTTAACATGTTACCTCTGATGAGTTGGCTGAGCCAGGCTGACAGCAAAGAGGGCCCAATCAAAAGTGAAATTTGTGTTGGACACTTGTGAGGAGTAGATGTAAGAAACTTTATGCCTTCCCAATGTATCCATATAAAATGTGCCAATTACATGAATAAGGCTCTAATGTTGAGATCCTCTGTAAGCCCAAGGAAAAGAAACATTTTGGCTTCCTTACTGTTGAGGTCATTATTTTTTCCATGAAAAGTTCAGGGAAAAATAAATGTTGACCTCTGAATGATAAGGCAAGTTACATAAATCTTGAAAAGTAAATATTGCCTAGGTTGACGCCAAATTGTTAACTACAGGAGATATCAATCATATGAAACGTGCCATAACCTAGTTGACAAGTGTGATTAAGCAGGCTTAACCTCATAGCTGGTAGAGAAGGCTTATATGTTTTTCATTCTCTTCTTTGCTTGCCTATTTTGCAAAATTCATTTTTCTTTTGTGGAAATAAAAACAAATTAGTGGGCCAGCCCTGGTTGCTCACACCTGTAATCCTAGCACTTTGGGAGGGCGAGGTGGGTGGATTACTTGAGCACAGGAGTCGGAGACCAGCCTGAGCAAGAGCAAGACCTCATCTCTACTAAAAATAGAAAAACTAAGTGGGCATTATGGTGGGTACCTGTTGTCCCAGTTGCTGCGGAGGCTGAAGCAAGAGGGTCACTTGAGCCTAAGAGTTTAAAGTTGCTGTGAGCTATGATGACACAACAGGCACTCCACCCAGGGTGACAGAGTAAAACTGTCTCAAAAAAAAAAAATACTGGTTATTGCAAATGCCTAAATGAGTCTGCAATTTTAAAGCCATAGGTGATGCCATCAGTTATTTTATTATACTCTTTATTATACCAGCATCAGAAACATTTATATGACCCATATACATACTCTTCTAGAGACATTCCAATTTTAAAAGAATTGTACTATTTTAAAAACAAGTTGCACATTTGTTCATTAATTATATTACAGGTACATAAAAATAAGCATATAAAATTACTAAAAGGGAATATTTGAAAAAGATTACAACTGTTGTGTTAAGATGTTGGTGTTACATACAATTTTTCCCTATTATGTTCTGTTTGCATAACATTTATAAATAAAAATTTATAACAAAACTGGTATTTGAGAAAGTTAATGTTAGATTTCAAGTAGGTGGACTCGATGATATCAAAATGGACACATAGACAAGTCCATCTGAGAGAAATCAGGAAGCAGAGCATATGCAAACTGTTCTGTATATGTGTGGGTGTGTGTATACATACAACAGAGAAGGATTTCATTCCAGAGAGTCTAAAGAGAATGTTTCATTTTCAAAGAGTAGTTAAACTTGATCAATGATTCCAAAGTGGCAGATAAAGTGGTGATTTCTCTTCTGCAAATCCACATAAATTACTTAATATTTTAGGAATAAAATTATTAGATTACTAACAAAACAAAATGTATTCCTACAGATCTCAGATTTATAAGACCACTTCTGAGATGGACTCATGTATTGCAGTGCAAAAGCTACTTGTATCTGTTCAAGCATATATTGAATTTTCCATTATCAAAACAGTTTTAATACCTATTACATGTGTGTGTGCAGAAATTACGGGACAGTACTAAGTGTGTAGGGAAATAGCAAGGCTTTGGCCCTGCTCCTTGCACACAAAACATTTCCCTCAGAGGTCAGAGATAAGCTGCTCTTCAGTGCCTTGAAGCTCTCAAGTTAGCTCCCTGTAAGTCAGGAAAGCCAAAAAAGCTTCCACTGCCTCAGTAAGCCAAAGTTCTTGAGGCTCATTTGCTTCAAAAATGGGAATTTGTTGAAGGACTACTGTGTGACAAATCCTCTACTGGGTGCTAGAGATTTAGAGAAATAATTTGGAATCTTTATGTTCAAAGAGTTTGCAGTCTGGTATGGAGAAATAGATGAACACTGACAATTACAAGACAGTGGGAAGGATGCTCTTAGAATAAAGTGCCAGCAGCTTGTAGAAACAAAGAAGGGACACAGAATAAGGGGAGATAGACTAGGAGGTATGCCAGGGAAGCATCCTGGGTCAATCACCTGAGCTGAGCCTTCAGTTAACCAGGAGAAGGGTCATGTTCCAACACAGGCACAGGCACTCATCGCTGGCTGTTCCTACCACTTACCCAGAACACTTCCAAAATATAGCTTGCCTGGCCCTAATCTCCCAACACTCTTGAACTGGGAAAATGAAAATAGTAGGACAGAACTACTAACTACATTATAAGCAAAATGGGTTCAGAATGGCTAATGGGTATCATAAATATGTTTCTGTAATCAAAAGCCCTTACATTGGCAATACTCTGTTATTTCACACCAATGTTTCAACTCTTTAAATCCATTGATAAAATGAGGCTACTCAAATGTATAAAAGAGGTACCATAGGCCTAGCTTGGTGGCTCATACCTGTAATCCTAGCACTCTGAGAGGCCAAGGCAGGTGGATTGCTTGAGGATATCAAGACCAGCCTGAGCAAGAGCAAGACCCTATTTCTAAAAAAAAAAGAACGAAAAAGAAAAAGCCGGGCATTGTGGTGGGTGCCTGTAGTCCCAGCTACTCAGGAAGCTGAGTAAAGAGAATCACTTGAGCCCAAAAGTTTGAGGTAGCTGTGAGCTGTGATGCCAGGGCACTCTACTTAGTGGGACAGAGTGAGACTATCTCAAAAAGAAGCGGTACCATGGATTATGGACAGAATACTGATCTAGGAGTCAGAAGGCATGGCTTTCGAACCCATCTCTATCTGTCCTCCTTTATGAAACATATAATAATCTTTGCCTATTTTTATAGAACTATTTAAGGATCAAATGACCTACTGTTCCCAAAATGCTCTAAACACTTCTTAGTTCTATACAGGTTAATAGGTTGCTGATGGCTATTGTGTTTGTGTGACTTGGAGACATGAGATTTTCGTTTGCCTAGCATCTCTTTAGAAACTATCTTTTCCCCAGTCTCAGTCTATTGGTCTAGTTGGGATGACCTTCCGACTACTTCCATAGCACTTGCTCCCCCCAACCAGCTGGATCCAGGGGTGGGTATGCTACTAAGATCTAAATAATCAATGCTCCTCATTTCCCTGGCTGTAATGATGGGGTTCAGAGAAGGGCATGTGACTCTACCCAAGCTAATCAGAATCCTCCTTAGGTTATTACTGGCATTGTCAGGAAAAGGGGCCTTTTGCCTAGAATTACCTGAGCAAGCTGTACCCTTAGAGCTGCCAGT